GAAAACAAGGAAAATGAATGGTTGGTAAAATAAATGGTATTTTTTGTAACTATAGTAATTTCTTTTGTGTAAACCAGAACAAAGTTCTTCATTCAGATCATGAATAAATGAATAACCGACAACAATCTTCATTTATAATTAATTGCTTGCTTTTTACACAAATGCAAACAAAATAAAATTTCTAAGAAATCAAAATAAATATATATATATATTTTAAAATTAAATATTTTTTAGGGGGGGGTAACGGTATTTGGAGTGACTGGTTGATAATAGAAAGAAGTAAAAAAAGTAAAGAACCAAGGGAGTACAAATTACGCTGTGACTGAATTATTTTCCATTCACTTAAGCCCCTTGTAGGGCGTGCCTCAGAATGAAACAGAATCAGGCGCACCCGGTCTGAGAGGCCACCAACCTCTTAATCAATTTTAATTCAAAACACCAGCAGGGCCACCTTGAGTAAGGCTTAAGGAAAGCAAAGGCACCAAATTGTATTAAAGTTTAATGAACAAAATGAAGCTTCAACTAAAACAACCGACATTGCTAATTTGACACAAAATGCTTTTGCAATTGAGGGTTAATTTAAGGTTTTTGAGTACCATAATTTATTACGGAAGGAAAATCAGAAAGTAAGTTCCTTGACAGTTTTTTGTAATTAATTTTCAAAGTGGGTATCCGTTATATATGAATGCAATTTTAATATCTTCTATTATTGCATCCTTATTTATAAAGAAAGTTAAAAAAAGAACATAGTGTTAAATCTGCCAAATGGCAATTCAACTAGCACTCGCTGATGTAATTAAAACCATATGGATGAAATAAAAGAATGATAGGACAAGTCGAACGAAATCATAAAAAAAGTTATTAAAACAATAGCTCAGTTTAATATTTCGAGAGCTCAGGAATAAATAATCTGGAATTAAACAGAACAAACAAATAATATAGAATGAACATTAAGTACTTTCATTGATACGATTTAAAACAGAATACCACAAGTCTCTACAACTCGCATAGTAAAAATACTGAATCGAAAAATTGATAATTGGGACTAGATCCAACCAATTAGGTAATAAATACCTACAAGTTTTCTTACAAAAACATCATTTCCAGTTTAAATGTTAGCTTTGCAAACCTGCTTTAGTTAAGAATTATGGGTTGTGAGCTCCTACGGCAACAAGTTTGCTTTGAGATCCAAAATGGTTCTGGGAAGGAAAAGGCGAGATTCAATTGCCTTCTCAATTGGTACCTTTACAATTATACTTCGTTGGGTTGAGGACTAGAAAAATTTGGTTTTTCGGTCCTCACTTTGCGGAAATTCGTTAACAAGATCATATATCTCTATGTGGATGATCGTTGTTATCCATAAAAATGATATCAGAGCCAACTACCATCCTAAGACAGTGCTTCTCAAACTTTCAATGGTTGCGACCCAATGTTCAATCTTAATTTTCATCTCGCCCCCCTTCACACAATAACAATGTATGGAATGCAATAATAATGCACTTTTACCTCTTAAAGCTACACAATACGATTTTAATCATAAACCAAACGAATTATTAAGATAAGTATTAAATTTTCTATATGACAAGCCTACGTGAATCGCTAGTAATTTTTAAACTTGTTCTTCACTTAGTATTGGGAGATTAATTATCAAGTACATTGAAAATTAATTGGTATATTTATAACTCCACCATTACTGATACATTTATAAGTATATTATATCAGAGTAGATGCGTATTTTTTTATTAAGTCCGAATGTATGTTTCGTTTTGTTAAATTTCAGTAAATTTGTAATTTTTTAAATCCTTTATTTTTGTCTTTTTGATATGCTCGCACCCCCTTGTAGGGTTATCACGACCCTCTAGGGGTCGCGCCCCACAGATTGAGAAACGCTGTCCTAAGAAAATGACCGTAAGATTCCATCATTTCATTTCTGTACCTCTCAACATGGAGTTTCTATCAAAAACATGGAAGTAAGTGCCCCTGTTAAACATGATGCATACACAGACCATAAATCTTTTGATGTCATGATAGAGGATGTGTCGCAAAGGTTGTTGTTACTAATACCACCTGTCGATGTCAGATCGAGACCCACGAAATTCATCGCGGCAAGGAGCTACATGTACGTCTGTTATCATCCGTAATTTTAAGCACCATACAGGTGACAATACGATTTATCTCGGTTCCGCCTCAATTTTAAGGGAGAACACACTAGGGGTGGTCAGGGTTCTCTCACTTCTCTTCCCTTCCACAAACCTCACGAGAGGACTTGAGGCTTGACGACCATTCAGAGTACCTTCATGCCGCAAAGGCACTATACATTTATTAACATCAATGCCTTCTCCGGGATTCGAACACTAGCCCTACAGCATAGCAGTCAGCGTTGCTAACCACTATACCGGATGGGCAACATGTCGTAGAGGTTTCCAGATGAAGCTACATCCAGAATCCGACTAAATCTGGGCTCATAAAACGGTATTGTCTGTACCACACTAAACCAGCTTTTCTGTCTTCAGAAATGAGTTAAAACAGTATGTCTTCTTGAAAACATATAGATTTCTGGAAGCACTAATTTCTGAAGCTTGGACTCCAGTGACTGCAGGATATCACTAGATATCTGAAAAGCTGCTGTATTTTTTTATGTTTTCCAGTCGGAATAAGCATCGATCTTAACTGTCCATCGTGCTTCTCGGATTATCTTGCCTAGACTTTCTCTACACTGATCTGGTCATCCAACTCACAAGTCGTTTCACACACAACGCCTAACATTATATTAAAGTGTATGGCAATCTACACCTGAGACTGCGTGGTAATCCAAAAATTCCCTACCTCATCCTATCATTATTTAAACATTGATGTTTTTTTTTTTATAAAAAGTCCCCGAGGTGTGAGGATGAATGAAGCGTGAACTTTCGCATGTGCACTCACAGAGAATTGTTCTCTCATTTTGTTTAACCCTTTATCTACTGCAATATTATTTACTGCAGTTTTTTTCATGCAATAATTTTTTTAATCACTACATTAAAAATTAAGGGATATACATAAACAAAATACTCAACTTTAGGAAATTTAATCCGTTAGAGCTAATTAATTAATTAAAGATATTCAACTGTAAAATAAATTATATACACTGTGCACTTAAAATAAATTGTCAAATATTTTTTAAGGTCTTCATTAACATACAAAAAAGTAGGACACTAACCTTTTGAAATTAACTATTTTTTCGGAACAAAAATGACAGTATTCTCAATCCGCTAAAAACACAATTTCTGCTATATAACTATTCGTCTTCCTCGCTAAAATATTCATCATAGAACCCACGCTGCCATATATCTTGGAAGAGTGGATTTAAAAGAATATTCCTGCTAAGTATCGTCAGAGTATTCGTAAAAATGGTTATTCTATGTAATTTTAAAGTGAGTGGTACTTAGAAGTAATGTCGGGAGATTAAGGGTTAAAATATGTTTTAAATTTCACTGATTGCTTTTCGAGAAATTCGATTGAATAGGCAAGTTTTCTTAATTTTGAACACCAAGAACGAAGGATAAACGTTAAACAAATATTGACTTTAACTGAAGGCTTTCAGCAGAAATGTTTACAAGAAAACTACAAATTAACGAGATATATAAAAATAACATCCCCCCAATAAGAGTTTATTTAAAATTTTTTAACTCAAATGACGTAAAGCACGAAACAAGTTGCCTTCCAACATCTATTTTCGCAAAATATCATTAAATGAATACCAAAACTATAAAATCGAGCGCAGTTTCATTTTTTTTTTTTAAAAGAGCCCTCAAGTCGAGCAACATGTAACCTGGAGACAAAGAAGCAGAGTACACTGTCAATCCATCTCAAGGCATTTCCGACGAGTAAACAAAAGAGTGGAGAATAAGGTACGGGGAGTGAATTACTCTTTGAAGGGAAAAAAATTCTACGGAGATGGAGTTGGGGGAGGGGATTTTGGAAGAGTGACATGAAAGTATCTGGGTGACGCTCGGAATCGATAAAAGGGACATGTTTGTGAGAGCTTAATATTAATGGAAGCGCGGGAGACGCCAGTTACAAGTTCCTCAGTCAGCTGCCTCTGCTACTCAGTGACCTCTGGGACGAGCTGCAACTGACGGATTCACTTCCACACTCTCACTCCCTCATCCCTTTTTCCCTTTTTTTCACACTCAAATCATCAAGTGGTTGGATGTTAGAAACTCAGCGACACATACTTATCATCTATACATGGTAGCGGCTTCCACAGACACATTGTTTTTAGAGATGTCCCTTTTTTCATAGGGATTTTTCCCCTTCTTTTTGTTATTGACAATTTTTTTTTTTTTTGGCCTCCTGAATCTTTATTTACTTCTCGACAACGTCCTTCGAAACCGGTGTTAGTTGAATGGCATTTGGAAGGAAAAAAACTGGATGGGGTATGCCTCTCCGTTCGATGAGGGACGTTGCACAAGAACAAAAGGGACCGCCCCGTTTGTGGTGGTAAGATGAAACCTTTCTTTGTCCCAGCCCGGTTTACTTAGGTGGCTTTTCCAGATGGCGAATTTGTTATCTGAAGAGAGATACACATCGATGACTCCTTTCTACCCCCGCCCCCCTTCTTTTACTCTCTATAATGTAGACATCGTTCAATTCATTATAATATTCTACATAACATTCCGGTTTTTAATTAATTATTGTAATTTGTACCACGAATAATATGTTAAATTGTATGTTAATAATTTCTTAACTATACTCTCTTTTCTCTTTTTCAATTCCTACAATCTCAGTTCCCTCTCTCCCTATGTATATAATATCTTGTTCAAATTTTTAATCGTTAATAAAATACTTTATATTCATCCATTCAAGCTCAAATACATTTTTTTAAATTTATTGTGACACACTTGATGTTAATACATTTTTTCAAATATTAATTCATTAATTAAATTAAAAAATGAATAAATAGTAGCAAACAAAAATAATAGTTCAACAATTTTTTAGAAAGGAAAATCATTCATTGTGCTCCTGCAGCGCAATGGGTAGCGCGTTGGACTTCTAATTCAAAGTTCGTTGGTTTGAATCCTACCTGGGATAGCCTAATTTCTGAGAATGTGATTCTTTTTACTAAAAATGATGATCTTGAATTCTAAATTGAATGATCGCATATACAAATAGTGTAATATGTACAAAACGGGATGACAAATAGTTGAAGTAAAATGAGTATATGTATAATAGCAATAAATTTTCATTTCTTTTATCGAAATTTATATAAAATAAAGAATAAATAAAACTCCATAAAAGAATTACAATCTTTTTATTGTACTATGCAAACATTGTTTAACTAAAATTTGTGAATAGCTTTTCCTTTGAAATAATGCTATTTATTTTTAAAAGTGTACAAAGTAAATAAATAAATAATAAAATAAAATAAAATAAGAATATTTTCAAAAATTTTGGATACAAAAGTGGAGGGATTATAGCTTGAATATTTTTTAGAAACACAGATCTTAGAAAAAGAAACATACTACAAAATTTTATGACACTCAAGTCGCGTTTCACGGAAATTAAATGAATTCGCGTCATATATTTTGTGGAGGGAGACTTCATTTCCAGGATAAATTAAATTTGTCTCCAGAATCGAATAAAATGAGAAAAAAAAAAAAGAAAAAAAGAATAGTGTCTACGGAAGTTGTTGATGCAAGAAAACCTTTTTATCCTAAAAGGATCTACACCAACTTTTTATCATTGTCTCAGAACAACGCGCCTGTCATAAAAACAGTATTTTGTAAAATTTCATCCGAATAGTTATTACCAAACGAAGCAACAAGCAATATTTATGTTGAGTCGTAAACACTTCAAGAGTATAAAATACTTCTAAAAAACGACAAAAAGTTTTGATTAAAAAGGAACAGCTCATTTTACACTTCTGAAATATTAAGATTCCCTTTTTATTATTACTGTTCGGTGTTATTTCAACTACGATATTTTTAACACCTTCAGACCACAGAAAAGAGTCGGTACTTCACTGACAGCTCAATAGCAACTAATTTACTTCGTAAAGAAGCAACTATAAAATTTAGAGCCGGAAAAGAAGGTCAGTTCCTTCGTCATCCCTCCCTCTCTCCATCAAAAAAGGGGGGAAAAAAATAAAAATAAAAGAATAGGAGGCTAAAAAGAATAATAATAATAAAAAAGGCTCTCTCTCTCTTATCGGTCTTTTAATAAGAGATTATCGAAGGAAAGCGAGAGTAATATTTTCGGTGGTAAACATTGGCTCAAGCCAAATAAAAAGGAAGGGGTGTTAGAGGGGGGAGGGGGTTCCCACACCCTCACCACCCTCTGGCTCTAATGAAGTGGAGATCAACTTGCCATCGGTCAAATTTAATTAAATCCCCTTCGCGTGGCATCTACGGAATGCAGCGTCGGTATTTGCCAGTGTGGCCAAGTGCTTTATTATCCCCCGCCCCGACTTGTTGCTCGCGCCCCTGCTCTTAATAATCGTCTCGCAACGAGACACTGGGGCTTCGATTCCGAGCCAAGTATTCCAATAATGAATGTGTCCCCTATAAAAGTTAGTGTTTGGCGAAAGCGGCTTTGCGACCCGCCCTTTGGAATGATTAAAAAAATTGTAAAAAGAAAATAGAGAGAAAGGTTCGTAAATCAATCGATATAAGTGAGAAGAGAGTTTTCTAATAACGACAAGGGGTGGTGGTGGGAAGTGTTCAGTAACGGCTCTTTGTTGTATGCTTTTAATTAATGAATATTGTATACTGTAATGAAAACTAGACAATGAGTCCCTTGCTATTATCATTATAAATACCGATGGCGGATATTTAGGAATAATGAGGATGATAAATAGCCGACATTTTCGATATAATGGGAGCCTTTTTTTCAATGAGAGATATTGTCAATTCTTGGTGGTGTCGCAAAAATTTCGTAAGCGCGGTAAATTTCCGAAACCGGAATAGAATGCAGCGAACGAGGAAGACAATACGAGAAATATATGATAGAAAGGCAGATTAATCTAGTAAAGCATCGAGATTAAATTTATTTTTATGAAAACAATAGTAGGAGTATTAAGGGGATTCACCCATGTGACGGCCTGTTTTTTAAGTATTCTTAGGGAGTTTTTTTTTTGACGACCGGTAAAAAGACAGAACTTTAAGTTTTTTTATCTTTTATTTATATACATATTTTAAGAGTATGTATATAAATATGTGTATCCAAAGAGTATGTATATGCAATAGAAGTTGAGTTATAGCGCTCTGAGAACACACCCGCCTCAAAAAAATGGACGCTCACTTCCTCCACGACTCCCGCTGATTGGCTTATTTGAAATAAAAAAAAATTAACGGCATTTTCATCTATAAGCTTAAATGCACTGAATGAACTACACTCAATTGAAAATATCAAAAATTGGATTTTTGGTAGAACTCTGAAGAAAACGTTTCGAATTTCATGGGGGTTTTTGTTATAAAAAATAAAAATATTTTGAATTTTGGAATGATCGTACTTCATTTGGTGCGTATATTTGTGTTGAGTCTACCCTATAAATTTGAAATCATTCGGTCAAACCGTTCTTGAGATATGATGGAGGAAAGTTTGAAAAACACAGTTTTGGGAAAAACGCGTTTTAAATTTCAAGTCCGATTAAAACAATGAAAATCTTAACTTAGCGCTACGAACAGCTGCTCTTCTAACACCTGCTTTTTTATAACAACTTCGAATTTTAAAAAAATCACTTAACCACAGTATTCTAGACATGTTAAGGAAGCAATTTATTAAAAAAGAATTTTTTATTTTTATTTTTTGAACCCATCACACGGGTGAACTCTCTTAAAAGGAACAACTACCATATGTATTGCTAAAATTTAATCATGGAAAATAAACTGAAATAATGTAATGTTATTCCTTCCATAAATGTATAACACTATACGTTAAGAAATAAATTAAAGGTAAAATTGTAATCAGAAGAAAAGTCATAAAAGTATATAAAAAGTGTGAAGTCTGTGATTAACACTTGGTATAAAAATAATCGTTTTAAATTGTCTGATAAAAAGTTAATTATTGAAGGTTTTAAACGCAATTAATTAATTTAATTTGGAGATTAACTTTTCATTTTACAACTTTAGCTTTATTTATTTATATAATATTATTTTATGTCAAATTTTCTTCAAACAAATTTATGCCTTAAGTGGAACCTATTTTACAGTTTTCTCGAAATCTCGATTCAATTGTTTTTATAACGATTAGTTACACTAAATCTATCTTTGTAATCTAGAAGAATGCAATAAAAATATTCAGTGTATATTTCCCTGCGAAAATTTTCAAAATCAATTATCTGTAGTGAGAAGAAGCAAAAAGTAATTTAACTTATGTAAACAGTTTAAAGTTTTGTACTATAGTATAAACTTAAACCCGAAATCAATCTATTGATTTAAAAATCAAGTGATCTAGATGGCATTGCTAAAGTAGACAAAGAAATGTGTCGAAATTTTTTTTCAGTTAAAAACGTCTAAAATCAAATCCGAATACAAGAATTATTACACCTATGTTACAAAAATGGTACAAACTTAATCTGGAAAAGATAATGAGGAACTCTATTTATATCAACTTGATTTGTAAGGTTACTTTTTTGTATTTTGTGTGTTATTTTAGAAAAAGATATATTCTAAAGAAGAAACAAATGTGATTTAATTCATACACAAGAGAAACAAGCAAGAGCATGCTATTAGTGAATCTTTATAATTAAAATTATATTACAACACAAATAAACAAAATTATATTAGCACATCTCTTAACACAAATTGTTGTGTCTATTGCTTTTATTTCTTATTTTAAACAAATTTATATTTCATTTGGAATGATATATTGATAAATTTAAAATTTAAACAAGTATTATTAAAAAAAAAATTAGTCAATTCCTACTTAGGTCAACAAAGAAAAACTTTATTTTAGTTACTTTTTATTAAATAGCTACAATTAATATAAATATGTATATATCTATGATAGAATCATTATATTAAGTGACTAAAAAGAAAGCGATTTTAATTGCAATTTTCCATTTTCCTTTCTATATAGGGTGTTAGACTATTTTTCTTTTGTTATTATTTATTCATTTAGTAAATTTAATTATTCTAATAAAAAAAAATTGATTATCTAAATTTCAGTATAAGCAAATATACAAATATATTTGAATTAAATATTTACATAATATGTAAATTTTTTAAAATTAGCTTTATACAATCAAGTTATATATGTGTGCGTGTGTAAGTACAATATTAATTGCTATTATAAAGACGTTTGGCAACCTCAGTAGTAATTTATTTGAGTTCCGGTGAGATTAAAAAATTATGGCTCCAACTATAAGTGTTTAAATTCATGAAGGATCTTTTTCCCTTTCCTGCAAGTTGAGATACAGGTACATTTTCTCCAATTAGCTTGTCTCTGGAATGGGAATATGCGATATTATCGAAGAATTTATTTGTTTTGTTTTGATTCTCTGAAAATTCCAACATTCAATAGAAATAGTCTCAATTTTAGCATTGATCTTTTATTGGGATAGTAAATTCCAATCGGAAGAAATGCTTCTCTGACGTCAGCATAATTTTTTTTCTATAGCACAAACTTAACTACAAAAGTGTAATATTTTTTAATACTGCTTAACATTTTAAAATTGTTTTCTTTTTGAACAAAAAAGGGAGAAATTGTAATCCATTAAAAGCTTATTATATTTTACCTCATTCTAAACAAGTAAAATCGAATTCATTTTCTTTTTTTTTTTTTTTTACACAAAAACTGCGAATTTTTTAGCTTGCGGACTTTTAAAAATAATTACACCAACAAAATTTTAAACAAGAAGTTTATTTTAGAATTTTTTTTTAAAATTTTTAATTCACACTTTTTTAACCTAAAATATAATGCCCACTAAATTTTTTTTTTAAATTTTTAAAAAATTTTAATTCAAGTCTTTTCTTAATTTATTCAAAATTAAAATTTTTTTTTTAAATTTTTTTAAGGGGTTTTTTAAATAGAAATTTTTCCCAATTTATTCAAATTAAAATAAGACTTTGAAAGTTTTTTAATTTTAATTT